TGTGTGCTTGCATGTGTGTATGTGTGTGTGCATGTCCATGTGTGTGTACATGTTTGTGATATATATATATGAGTGTGCATGTGTGTGTATGAATGTGTGTGCATGTATGTGAGTATATGTGTGTTCATGTGTGTGTATGAATGTGTGTGTACATGTATGTTTGTGCATTTATGTATATGCGTGAGTGTATATGTGAGTATGTGTGTGTGAGTGTGCGCATGGCGTGTGTCTGTGTGATATTGCACATGTGTGCACATGCAGGAGTACAACTTAAAGTTCTCCCCACCAAGAGGGTTCCTGGGGTAGAATTGAGGTCATCAGCTTCCTACCTCCTAAGAATCTAGAGATACATTTCACAGTTAAATAGCTAAGCTGTGCAGCATTTAGTTGGAGCAGTAGGGAATAATGCAAATGCATGCTTCGTGTTATTTACGGAATTAATTTCAAGAATGGTGTGGATGATCAGGGGGAAAAAACCACATTCTGATCTCTCTAAGGGATGAACTCCATTCTGGTGTACGTCGGTCACGAGGTGTTTGAGGACTACTTCCCCTTCCAATGGAAGCTAGAGGATGAGCAGTCACACAAAGAGCATCTCATTCAGAACATAGTCGCCACTGCTCTCTGGGTGCTCATCGCCTACATTCTCTATAAAAAGAAGGTTTTTTGGAAAATCTGACAGCACCCGCTGAAATACATTGCTAGCAGACTCCACAGGGCCTGAGAGAAGAGTGGCAGCAACCTTCCTCACAAAGGGGACGTGCTTTCAGATGCTGTCCAAGCTGGTTTGCCTGGACATCAGAAACCTGCCTGCATATTTTTGACTTATCTATTTACATATCTGAAATATCATGCTCTCCATTTTCTATGAAATTCATCTATTTGGAACGTGCGGACATCTTAAACTTCTCCGAGGGCATTTACTCTGGACATTTTGCCTTCGTGAAGGAGGCTAAGGTTGGTAGACTATGCTTGACTCACAGGTAGAATCTTTCCAAGCGTGGATGGCACCTCAGGTTTGGTCCCTGGCATCACAAACAAGCAAACAACAAGAAGGACCAAGTCTTGCTTCCTGAAAACTGCCTTCCTATGTGTATACGCATGCCAACAGTAACCGCCATGGTTTCATGGTGACAGACTATAAAGCTTTTTGAATGGACTGTGTCATAATGTTGTCTGATTTTTTTTTTATAGCATGCACTTTATTGTTTCTAGAAAGACAAAGTAATTTTCCTTTCCAACTTTCAGGGCTTTGATGGGCCCACAAAATCCATTATGAAAGGCTGCTTGCTTCTTCCCTCACTTGGCAAAAAAGCTGAAGTATAGATTTGTTCTTGCAAACCACTCTCCTTACAGCTCTGTCTGTTCATCTACCTTGTTATTGTCTGTTCTGTCTGTCTGCCTGCCTGCCTGCCTGCCTGCCTGCCTGCCTGCCTGCCTGCCTGCCAGCCTGCACTGGCATGTCTCTGGATGGTATCTAGGCATCTCTTGGTACCCAGAGATGTAGCCCTGGGAAGAAGAAGAACATATGTTCTTTGGTGAGTCCTCCAGAGCTGTCTCCTGGGTAAGGTGTGGGGCAATGCCCTGGCTTGTCAGAGCTTTGGTTCCCTCATCTGTGGAAGGAAGGAAACGGAGATGTTCCCTCAGCCCTCCCAGGGTTTAGATGTGTTAAGGTGAGACCCATCAGCAACTTCTGTGTAACTCACAGAAAACCCTGGGAAAGGAATAATAGCAAACCCTCTTCATCTCCATCAGAGTGAACCCTATCCATGGCTGTCCACAGTTTCTTAGGGACGAAAGTGATGTCTGCGTATAGACGCCCTCCTGGGGAGTTTCCATGAGAATTGAATTTTTTTTTAATAGAAATCACATGTGTGTGTGTGTGTGTGTGTGTGTGTGTCTGTCTGTCTGTCTGTCTGTCTCTGTCTTTATTATTCTTTTTTTTTAATTTTTTTTTGGTTTTTCGAGACAGGGTTTCTCTGTGTAGCCCTGGCTGTCATGGAACTCACTCTGTAGACCAGGCTAGCCTCGAACTCTCGAACTCAGAAATCCGCCTGCCTCAGCCTCCCAAGTGCTGGGATTAAAGGCGTGCGCCACCACCGCCCGGCGAGAATTGAATTTTTAAGGAGAATTGTGATGGGGTTGTACTTCAGGCCACTCTTTTGTGGTGACCTGGGGACATTTGAATTACAGCCCATGCATGAATGGCTTTTGAGTCAGTTTCTGGCTCTGCCCTGACTCTTGGCCGTGCTTCCTGAGGTCTTCTCTCCTATGCCCGCGGCATCTCCGGCTCAGCGCTGCCCTTCTCTACAAATGGAAACTCCATGCTTTCCTGGCTCTGAGCGGCTCATTCTGTCTCAGGGCGCAGAACCAGCGCTGCTGCCTTTTCACTCCTTACTTGTGCTTTCCCATTAAAAAAAAAGATTTTATCATTGCTAAATCTTCTCAGTTCTGTCTCCATCTTCCACCTCTTCGTTCTCCGTTATGTCCTCTGTCCGAGTGTAGATGCTTGCCTCTTTCTGTGAAGTCATTGGTCCACTGTCACCAGATTAAGCTTTATAAAGCAGGAGTTGGATCAAACCATCTTGTCCAGTTCAGTTGAGCCTGGGGCATCTCTGCCAGACAACAGCCCTCCTCCTTTGATCCCGGCACCTTCTGCTGTTTTCCTGTTTCTACCAGCCTTGCTGGCTGTGGCCCAGTTGGACCCCTCCCCTCCCCTTCATTTCTCCACACCTGTATTTCATCTGTCGTTTCACACGGCCCATTATGGAAGTACCACCTCTAATCTCATTCTCAGCCAGAGCTGATACCCTCTTCGGGGGGTTCTCACTGGTATCTATCTCATAGCATTAATTGCTTCTGCCTCATGAGATGGTTATTTTCTGTGTTATCGTGATCTTAATGGCAAGAATTACATCTTCTGCTGCATTTTTTTGTGGTACCAAATGAACTGCCTGTACTTAGCAAGTGCTAAATAAACATTTATCAAAGCAAAACAATGTGGGGTTTGATTTTTTTTATTTTTCTTTTGTTTTTAATTATTTGTCTATAGAGAGGGTCGTGCATATGAATGCTATTCCTGCTGAGGAGAGAGGCGTTGGGTCCCCCTGGAGCTAGGGTTATGGGCAGTTGTGTGACACCCAATGTGGGTGCTGGGAACCAAATTCCAGTCTAATCTGAGCAATCTCTCCAACCCGTCTTGGTTTTTTTTGAATAGTATAACTGAGCTGGAAGTTTGATGTTCCCCCATTGAGAGTCTCTTGAGAATGCTGATGGGGTTGTTAATGGAACAAGGCTCTTTAAGGACTCCTGGTGCCGCCCACAGCCACGGCTGTGCTGTCTTTCCATCCACAGTGAGAGCCTTCATGAAAGGGTGAGTTACCCTTGAGAGTAGCACTTCTCAAACTGGGTGCTGTGTCTAGGTTAGAATGCCTTTAGCCATAAGAAGCACTGGGTCCTGATACAGCAGAACTGTCAGGAAGCTCACCCATCCTAGGCGGTCCTTGGGGAGACATGCTGCTCACCATTGCAGCCTGCAGAGATGGCCTCTGGGATCCCAGCTGTTACCCACAGTACTGAATAGAGGCAGATTCTCTGTGTATCTTAGTGTTTTATTAGCCAAAAAAAACAAACAAACAAAAAACAAAACAAAAAACAAACCCTGATCCTTGAGGATCATTGGCTAGAAATGCCTTCAAAATCGAAAATGATGAGAACTTGGGTTAATCCAGTCCAGTTATACCCAAGAAGGTGACTACCTGAGGGTACAGGTACCTTCTGAGAGAGGAAAGACAAGGCGTGTCGCCCCGTGACTAACAGAACGGGAAAGTGGGTGTGGCTAGCATGACTGTTGGTGGCTGCAATAATGACAGATGACACTACATCTTCCCAGGAGCAAAGTTTGCCTTTTAAACCATTTTAAAATTATTTGCGTTTCTAATTCCTGTTTATAATTGAGTAAACTGTAGTTGTTATAAGTTGTGCCATTTTACATTCACTAATATAAAGGACACCATGGATAAGTAAATAACCCATGTGTAAGGTATTAGCTTGAGTGAAATTCAACTGAAATACTGGATATTTTCTCACCTATAATGTAATTTTATTTTGTTTTAAATAAGAGAGAAGACCAATAGACTTCCAGGAAGAGGTCTTTGTATCAGTTTATTTAAGCTAGAAGCAGATCCTTCCCAGTGCTAAACAGTATACTCTGAACCATGACTTGTTAATAACCAAGTGTCGGACATGATTCCAGCTTTGAGACTGTTAACACATTTAAGCAAGGTGGGTGTCTTAATTAGGGTTTTACTGCTGTGAACAGACACTGTGACCAAGGCAACTCTAATAAAGGACAACGTTTAATTGGGGCGGTCTTACAGATTCAGAGGTTCAGTCCATTATCATCAAGGCAGGAGCATGGCAGCATCCAGGCAGGCATGATGCAGGAGGAGCTGAGAGTTCTACATCTTCATCTGAAGGCTGCTAGCAGAATACTGATTTCCAGGAAGCTAAAATGAAGGTCTTAAAGCTCACACTCACAGTGACACACCTACTCTAACAAGGCCACACCTCCAAATAGTGCTACTCCTGGGCCAAGCATATTCAAACCATGACAGGGCCCTTTTAACATTGGTTCTAAACAGTACCCATCAAGCCATCAGCCTTTCTACACTCAAGGCTAATGAAATGCTAGATGGTCCCTTATGTCAAGAAATGCCTCAAATTTTATAAATTCCACTTTTAGTTCCGTGTGTCAAAACACTGTCAAGGCCAGGCATGTGTCTGTAGTCACGACACCTGTGAGCCAGAGGCAAGAGGGTTATAAATAGACAGGCATCAGTTCTAAGTTGGAGACTAGATTGGACTATGTGAGACCCTGTTCCTAAAGAAAACAAAAAGCACAAAGACAAAATAAGCCACTATTTTGCTGACTTTGGTTTTCAAAATTCCATCCAAAAGTGGGCCATAAGCCTTTCTCACCACCGGTGGAGCACCAAGCCATGGATGGAATTCCTGACCATTGGGGTTCGGATTATTTCTGCCTGGCAACTGGAAACTGATCTTTCCCTCATTTGCCCACATATCTCACCCAGATGTTCTAGGATTTTATCATGTTTGTGGTCACATCCCCCCACCCCCTTGGCACTTGCCTGGTGACCTGCTTTCTATAGAGCTGATCCTGTGACACTGGGGCCCCAGGCAGAGCTGGAGGAACAGAAGTAGCTTTACCATTGGAACAAGCCACAGGTAATGCCTTACCAGACCACAGTCAGCAGGGACAGACACGGATGCCACTCAAGCATGGAATTGGGGGGCGGGGTGTCCCATGAACACCTCACTGAAGGCAAAACCAGTCACTTCGTTTGTCAAAAATATCACAAGAATGACCTCTAGGCCACTTACTCTGAAACTTCTTGAGCTAGTCCCAGAGTTCTAGACATTGGTTCACTGCAGGAGGAAGCTCTGACAGTGAGACAACACAGCTGGCAACATGTGTGTGGGGGGGGGAGTAGAGGGAGCGGGGTGGGGGGAGGGCGGGACAGGAAAGCTGCAACTGTCCTGGAGTAAAAGCAGAGATCACGAGCATCCCTGGCAGACAGACAGACAGACAGACAGACCCCGAGGAGGGCAGCTGACATTGGATATACAGACAGAAGCAGAACTGAGAAGCATCAGCCACACAGAGACAGGGGTGGGGTGGGGGCAGAGGGAGAGAGGAAGAGAGGGAGAAACGGGGGAAAGGGAGAGAAACAAAAACCATGTCATTAGAACAAAAAACAGCTTCCCTACAGGGGTCATGGGAGGAGTCCCAGAGGTGAACGTGCACCTGGGCTCTGCGTACAACTTTTTAAAATATTATTTTCATACAATATATTTTGATCACGTTCATCTCACTCCCTCAACTCTGCTTCGATCCTCCCGGTTCCTTAAGCACTCAAATTTATGTTGTTCTCTTTCTCTCTTTCAACAAAACACAAAAATGAAAATCAAAACAGACAAAAAGTACCATGAAGACAAAGAATGGAAACCGGAGGACTGATGCTTGGGAACTCACAGAGACTGTGGCAGTATAGCCTCCAAGTAAGTGGGGGATCCCAGCACTAAGAGCAGGAATCGGACACGGGACCCCCACCCCTAACCAAGCAGCTGTCTGTAGCTGATAC